TCCTCCCCGAGCGCAGATCTCCGAGGCGGCTGGAAGCCCTGGGACGCTCAGCCAGCGTTCCCCAAGGCGCCTCCTCTGGGCGCTCGCTGCGGGCTGGGGGCCCCCATTGGTTCCTGCGGAAACCACGTGCTGGCCCCAAGAGCTCTCTTCCCACCCCCTCCGACCCTCCCAGATCCCCAGTCACCCTCCGGGGACTCTGGTTGGAAGCCAGGGCTCTCGAAGCAAAGGAGGCGCGGAGAGACGGTGCCGCGCGGTCCACGCGTTTCGGGGAGGGCCTTCCGAGGTCAGCCCGGGGTCCCCTGGACCCTCTCAGAGGGTGTGTGGGGATGGGGTGGAGCCCTTTCCGTGCCCCCCGGGCTGGTCTGTGTGGCTGGGCTGCGATTCTCCAGGCTTCACTCTTGGGGCAGAAGAAAACCGAGGTACAGCGCGGGCGGCCGGGAGCGGCGGGTTGAGGTGCGCGTCGACCCCGCCCTCGGAGAGAGAATGGGGCGAGGGGCTGCAGTGGGGGAGCCCGGGTCCTCGCGAGGGAAGATAGCAGCCCCGGCCTCGAGAAGGTTAGGGAGAGGGGCTCGCCTCGCCTTTCCAGTCGCAGTTTCGTCCTTTGCTCCCCCTTCTCCCTCAAACTGACTGCCAGGAGCGCGCCGCGCGTGCGCGAGCCTAGAAGCGCGGCGCCGCCTAAGGGTGGGAAGGGTTGGCCCGCGTCAGATCCGCAGGGCCGCGGCCTGGACGCAGAGACACGGTGGAGAGAGCTGGTCCTTGCTCTGTAACAGAACTACAGGTTTTGGCGGGAGGTATTAACCTCCCGGGCTTTATTTTCATAAAAGCGAAGATACATCGGAAGTGGTGGCCCGCATCTGCAATCCTAGCACTTTGGGAGACTGAGGTGGAGGATCACAAGTTCGAGCCTAGCTTGGGCAACTTACCTATTTCAAAATAAAAGATTAAAAGAGGGGAGATGAGGATGTAGCTCAGTGTGGCGGCCCTGAGTTCAGTTCCCAGTACCAAAAATAAATAAAATGGAGAGAATAGTATGGAAGAATTTAGTGAGAGAATGTATGTGAAATCGTCAACGAACGCTCACTGCTGCTGTTACTACCAGGAAACATGACTTGACTCCACGGGATTTGGAATCTCCGAAGTTTTCAAAAAAAACTTTTTGAAATTAAAATGTGATCTCGCTAGAGTTGCTTTTGGGATTCCAGATCCAACGTTTCTTAACCCCTTCTTATGGGTGCTCAATGTTAGGAGAATTGTGGGTGCTACTATTATTTCCCGATATCCAAGGAAGCCCAGCTCCTCCCTCCTCCCACGAATGTAGGCACAGCACGAGTTCAACGTGTTTGGTCCTGCTGCTATCAAGCCACGGTTTCATACATCTTGTAATCTCCACATTGAAGTCTTCCCACAGGGCACCCCACATCCCCCATTGGGAGGAGTGGAGGTGATTCTCAAGGTGACCAAGCTTCTAGTCTCACGGTGTCCTCCGAGTGCATCTTGCCAAAACAATGAACCTTTTAGAAACTTTCTTCCTTCCTTTCTTCCTCCCTCCCTTCTTCCCTCTCTCCCTCCCTTCCTCTTTCTTTCTTTCTCTCTCCCTCTTTCTTTTCCTTGCTTTCTCCTTTTTTTCTTAATAGCCACACTTTTCTCTCCAGAGATCTCAAAATCTTGTAACGAATCATGT